CCTCCCAGCCAGCCCTCCCCCTCCCCCCGGCCGGTCCTTTCCCCTCCCCCGAAGCGTCTGTTTTTTTAGTGGGGTCTAACAGATGTCCCAATTTTATAGAGGCAGTCGCAATAGTTCGCCTTTCCACGCTCCTGAATGGTTTTCAGTTTTCACACTTGTTATCTGGGCACCAACAGGGAGGTGGCTGACGGCCACCAACAGGCCATGTGCTCCTGTTGGCAGAGGGGGCCATGTCTGCAGCAAAGCACCCCTGTGTTTTAAGTGTAGAGTGGGGTCTAACAGATGTCCCAATTTTATAGAGGCAGTCGCAATAGTTCGCCTTTCCACGCTCCTGAATGGTTTTCAGTTTTCACACTTGTTATCTGGGCACCAACAGGGAGGTGGCTGACGGCCACCAACAGGCCATGTGCTCCTGTTGGCAGAGGGGGCCATGTCTGCAGCAAAGCACCCCTGTGTTTTAAGTGTAGCCAGGTGCCAAGGCATCTAAAGTGTCTCAGGGAAAGCAGCTGTAGAGCAGCAGTGCCACCCAGTGGGACCATGGATTCATTACAACTGGAGTAGGGAAATCCATCCCTAAGTAGTCTTCATGCAGCTTCAATGCAGCTGTCTGGTTAGGATCTGGGATGCTCTCTGGCTTCATTTGCATTGGCCAAGACCAGGCATATCACCAGTGCTTTCCAGATAGTGCCACTCTTTGCACAAATTTATTGGAAATGTTGCTGTCTAGGCGAAGGCTCTGCTGTTAATAGCGTGAGGTGTGGGCCAGCACCTAAGGAGGCCCAGTGGAACAATGTGATGGACTGGTTAAATTAGCAGGCCAGCAATAGGAGAGCTCATTCCCAGAAAATGAAGTGCAAACTATCCCTGTATATCCCAGGCAAAGATTGAGCTCAGTGAGGCTTGTATGGCAATGAGGAAACAAGGCGGACATGCACTTCGGAATATAGCAGAGACCACACATGTGACCTGAAAGCCCTTTACAAAGGAGCAAAGGCACAGATGGGGAAAGCGAGGCATGGAGTGGTGAAGTGACTTGCCCGTGGTTACCCAAAGGGCAGTAGCAAAGCCAATAATAGACTCTCTGACACCTGAGACCCAGGCCAATGCACTATTCCCTAGGAAACACTGGTTTATTGTAGGAAGCCATAGCATCTCTTCAGTGAACAAATCCTAGTTCTACACACAGTAGGATTAGTGGGATGAGACCTTAATAATGCAGCTGCTTCCTGCCTTTTCAGTAAAGCAATGCAATACCATTGATCAAGCTGCAGCTTCCTATCCCTGCCAGTAGACCTGGCCATGCTCACCAGGGTCTCCTGTTGCCCCTCACCTGGCCGGCCCTGCTGAGACCCTCAGCCTGGGAGCAATTTAGGCAGTTCACTTGTGCAAATCATTTTTCAGAGTGCTTTTTCTTTCCATGGATGAAGACCTGGCACTAGATTGGAGGGACATATGTGTTTGTATTTATGATTTCTAGTGGGTATTTTCTAGCAAAGCCAATTGCCTTAGCAACCTAGCTAGCAAACACAGAGCCTTCTGAGGTGCTGGTCTCAAGGATTGCAGCAGAGGTTTCTGAAATGGATAAAATCAGGTGCTGAAAACGTTTCCTTTTTGAAGTCCAGTTTGCCATACTATGGTACACAAAGTTTGCCTTTGCTGGCTTCTGTTAAAAAGACACAAAGAGCCCATTATTCATAAAGCTAAAAATGTTTATTTTACATCATGTGAATACATTTTCCAAGACACAGAAGTGTCATTTCTGCAAAAAAAGCAGTGCAAGAGGTGAAAACATTGTCCTGCAGGGGTAGTTCCTTCTGAGGGCTTGGCACAATGGTGATATGCACACTTGATCACTGTGATCTCATTTGAACACCCAACTTCTCAAGATTGGCCTTTAATTTGGGATGCAGGAAATCCACAACTCCCACTGGAGTTGCTCAGCACCTCTGAAAAATTAGGCCCATACTTGGCTAGGAATGGACTTTGTTCAAAGGCCATTGAAGTAAATGGGCCTCTCTCCATTCAGCGGGCTTGAATTCAGGCCATTAGTGAGCAGAAAAGTTAAAGGAAGCTGCCTCTGATAACTAGTTTTGATTTGCTCTGGTGATAATCACTGGCCAGAGTGTCAGTATTGGCAGGACTTTGTACCAGCACTTTCCCCTAAGAGTTAGGAGAAAAGTAAGAGGAGATAGGTTAGAAGAACTCAGATGTCAGGATCCTGAGAAACACAGGTGGGAAGCACTAGTCTTTATAAACACAAGAAAAAGAGGGGTGTCAACAGGGGAACCATTTTTAAAACAGACAAAAGGAATATATGTTAACATAATATGGAGTTAATTTGGGGAACTCTCTACCGCAGCATTTTACTGAGCCACCAGTGTTAATTTCAAACACGTGCCCATAAATAAGAAAACCAAGTGGCACTGCACACAGAAGATAAAGTTACACGGACATTCAGTTCCCATGCTTCATGGAATAAGTCCTTCTCCAGTTGGGGTCAGGGAGAAATGTCCCGTGCCGTAGGAGGAAACCACAGGGGAAAATTGGGTGTGGAGGAAGGAACTGTCAAGCTATACAAAAGGCTTTCTAGCTCAGTACATTACACTGAAGAGCTCACAGTAATGTCATGATAGGTTCATTTTTGGCTTAGAACAGTGGTCTCCAACCTTTTTAAACACAAGGTCACTTTTTTCAATTTCAGTGCAATGTAAAATCTACCTCAAACCCAAATACCCTGGCCCAACTTCCTTCCCGCCCCTTCTTTGAGGCCCTGCTCCTGCTCCACCCCTTCTCTGAGGCCTCCCCCTGCTCACTCCATCCTTCTCCTTCCCCCATCCTCACTCACTTTCACCAGGCTGGAGTAGGAGGTTGGGGTGCAGGCTCTGGTCTTGAGCCAAGGGATTTGGAGTGTGGGAGGGGCTCCGGGCTTAGCCCAGGGTGGGGGACTGGAGTTCAGGAGGGGTTTCAGGAGTTTGGGTGCAGGGAGAGGTTCAGAGCGGGGACTGTCAAAAACCAAAACTAACCCACTTTGCATGCAGTAAAAGAAGTAACAACAACCTCCCACGTATGTGTTGGGTCAGGAACACTTCTGTACCCCATCTCCACACAGAGAGAAGGGATGGAGGGAGCTTGACAATGCAAATCTCTGTCACGCTCAGTGTGTGTCTATCATTCTCACAAACACAGGGTCTGTGTCTACATTGGCACCCTTTTCTGGAAAAGGGATGCTAATGAGACAAGTCGGAATTGCAAATGCCGTGGGGGATTTAAATATCCCCCGCGGCATTTGCATGAACATGGCTGCCGCTTTTTTCAGGCTCAGGGCTTTGCCGGAGAAAAGCGCCAGTCTAGACGGGATCTTTCGGAAAATAAAGCCTTTTCCGGAAGATCCCTTATTCCTGATTTTAAGAGGATTTTAAGATATTTAAATCCCCCGCGGCATTTGCAATTCCGACTTGTCTCATTAGCATCCCTTTTCCAGAAAAGGGTGCCAATGTAGACACAGACCCTGTGTTTGTGAGAATGATAGACACACACTGAGCGTGACAGAGATTTGCATTGTCAAGCTCCCTCCATCCCTTCTCTCTGTGTGGAGATGGGGTACAGAAGTGGGAGGAGGAGGGACACCCTAACATCAGCATCCCCCCTTCTTCATCCCACACCCTGCACAGCAAGCAGGAGGCTCCCAAGGGGGCAGCTCCAAGGCAGAGGGCAGGAGCAGCATGACAGTGGGTGGAGGGGCAACTGAAGGGCCAATGTTTGATAGGTGATCCTGACTGGTTTGGTCAGGAAGCTGTCAGAGGCTCCAAGATCTATGGGTAGATCCTGATCCACTAGTTGGTGACTACTGGCTTAGAACATATAGGGGGCTGTATGTCACCAACCAGTGGATCAGGATCTACTCATAGATCTTGGAACCTCTGACAGGCGTCAGCTGACATCAATCAATGCACCAACACTGAAGCCGATCTACAGCAGCTGAGCATCTGGACCATTTTCTCCAAGGCGCTGGCAGCTTGAGACCACAGTATTTAAGAGGGAGTGAGGCCACTCAGAATATCTGTCAAAGCGTTGAATGGGATCCAGCCACAAGACATGTCCTATTTATACACATGAGTATTGCATAGCTTCCCCCTGCCCTTATGGCCCAGTAGGGGAGTGAGGACTGTGCTAGTAGTGAGGATATATTCATAGCAAGAATGTGTCAGATGTTAATGAGAGGAAAGACGGGGTTTAAGCAGCAGTGCCTAGACTGTAACAGACCCAGCCCATTGATTCCTGGGAGGGCACCATTCCCTTCTATAAGTCAAACAGGAAGGAGGAGGATGGATCTAATCCAGCAGCCCTTCTGTAGGCAAAACTCCCCCTGGCTACAATGCCTGAATAATGAACACTGGGATTCTTCTTCCACCAGGTTCCCACTCAGCAGCATTTGGAATGACTGCTCTGATTGCTCTAGCAATGACATGTCCGCTGAGGCATATAATGTATGATTAGTAATAATACTAATGCCGTTAATATAAACTATTGTAGGATTAATTGAAAAGTAACCACTTTCAACCAACCATAGCCCAGACAAATCCCTCACAAACATTGATGTACCGGTAAGTATGTCAAAGAGTGGGCATGAATTTAGTCACATGTCCAGCTCCTGGACTCCCCTCCCCTCCTCCACCTGTGTACCACTGTACACTGTAAGCTGAGTGCTTGGAGGGAGGGGAGCCACCCAGGAGAGATTCAGATGCCAGCCATCTGTTGAACAGCGTGCCCACAACTGGCAAGCAAGTGTTTCTACTGGTGGTGCACATCCACAGATGCTTTGGTGCACATAACAAAATTTATTCTGCACAGAGATGGAAAAAAATAGCGGGAACATTGCTGTGCACCATGGGCATTAGTACTTTGCCTGCCAGGCTCCACAGCCATCATCCCGAAATAGACAACAACAAAAACACAGCACTAGAAACTTCCAGGAATAGTCAGCTCCATCTACCACAATGTTACCAGCAGCTAGAACATGTGGGGAGAGTGGTAGTTTTGTACTGAGCAATGTCATAATTTTAGAACAGCCTATCTGCTGCCATGGTGGTGGCATAATATAGTTTTTCCCTTCAAAAAAAAAAAGAAAAAAAAAAAGGTCACTCCCTCACCTACGTCCATGGAGAGACGGAGGAAGAGAGGGCTTTCTGGAAACCTTTGCTCCCACGTCATTTGCACTGAGAGCACAGACAAGAATTCTTGCTGCGAGGTGACAGCCTTGTCTGGGTCTGCGAGGCTTTGATATTCATAGCTCCATGAGGTCGTCACTGGAAACAACCTTGACGGTGATGTGACCTGGCATTTTGTCTGCTTCTCGGCCGCCTTTTCCCCGGAGCTGGAGAGTCTGTTGTTCTCTGGGGTCACTGGGGAGTGCTGCCAGCAGCACTTGTCCAAGGAACTGGTCACAAAAGACGTTGCTGTTCCAGACCTAGAGACACAATTGCAAGGGAACAGAAATAACTGCAGCTCAGCCAGCTTCTCTGTCACGTGCCACTGACAAGGGCCATTCATGGTAGAGAAGAGGCACTCACATTAACCCTCCAGATCAGGAGTGTGCATGTGTGTGTGTTGGGGGGGGGGGGGTCTAAAGTTGGCTAATTAACTGGAGTCAGAGGGCTGTTCTTGATTTGCATTTTAATTTACATACGCTATTAAAATAAAGAGACGAAAACACAATTTTGCTTGGCCTCGTATCTAACCTAGACAAGGAATAGAAATTGCCTGCTTGGGGTCATCATCAATAAAACCCTGTGTTGAATCAGCTTGTCGTCTCTTCCCTACAGCTCGTTCCCAGCCCCAGGCTGCCCATGGCCCCAAGGGTCTTGATTTGCATTTTAATTTACATACGCTATTAAAATAAAGAGACGAAAACACAATTTTGCTTGGCCTCGTATCTAACCTAGACAAGGAATAGAAATTGCCTGCTTGGGGTCATCATCAATAAAACCCTGTGTTGAATCAGCTTGTCGTCTCTTCCCTACAGCTCGTTCCCAGCCCCAGGCTGCCCATGGCCCCAAGGG